ATCCTGTTGGGAGCACAATGAAGGAAAATGTAGGTTGATCCTTTGGGAGCACACAGAGCAGAATGGATACACTGAGCACCTGATAATTCAATTCTCCTGGATTAACCCAAAGGAGACTAACAGGGTGTCCAGATTCAGATTTCTATTTCTGAGATGAAATACCATGACCAAAAGGCAAGTTGTGGACAGTAAGGGTTTATTTGGCTTACACTTCAGCATTTGCTGTTCAGCTGTGAATGAAGTGAGGACAGAAACTCAAAGAGGGAAGACCACTGGAGACAGGAGCAGATGCACAGCCCCTGGAGGGGATTGGTTTACTCAGATTCTTTCCCTGGCTTATTCAGATCACTTTCTTTTTGTTCTATTTGTTTTGATATAACCTTTTTATTTCATTATTTTTTTCTTTTTACATTTCAACCCCAGTTCCCCCTCCCTTCCCTAGTCCAGCCTGCCAAATTCCCAAATCCTACCCCCATTCCAGTCCGCAGAGAGCATAAGGTCTCCCTTGGGGATTCACCAAAGTCTGTAATCTGCCTACCTTCTTATAGGACCCAGGACCAGGGATGGCAACACCCACCAGAGTGACCTCCTCCATTGATCAATAATTAAGAAATGCCTTACAGCTGGATCTCATCAAGACATTTCCTCAACTGAGGCTCTTTCCTCTGATGACTCTAATTGTGTCACATTTTTTCCTTTAGAACTAATCTCCCAGGTCACAAATAACTTTAAAAGTTCCACAGTACTTATAAATGTAAACCCTTCAAAATTTCAGCTCCTTTAGAGTAACTAATTTCCTAAAATCCAAAGTCTTTTAAAATTCAAAATCTCACAATTGTATCTCCAGTAAAATAACTCAAGGGGGAGAACATTGGCAGAGTAAAGATCAAATTAAAGCAAAAAAAAATATTACAACCCTCCAATATCTGGGAATCATTCATGATCCTCTGGACTCCTTCAAAGGCTGGGATCACTTCCCCAGCCCTGACCACTGCAGTGCACACAGCTCATTTCCTAGGCTCTGACTGGCTCCACTCCGCTGCTGCTGTTGTTCTTGGTAGTTATGACATGGTTTTGACAATTCCAAATCACTAGCTTCTTCTGATGCAATTGGGCTGCAATTTGACCAATATGCTCTCATAGGCTCTCCTCAGGGTGCCAAGCCTCAACTTCTTTGCATGAGCCATTTAGTCCTGGACTTTCAACTACCACTGAGGCTGCACCTTCACCAATGGCTTCTCCTGGACTCTCAGAGTTCCACGCCTCAGTTGCTCTACATGACCATTCATGCCTGCAAAACCAGCAACACCTGGGGTGACAATTACACTTTGCCAAGTCTGCCTGCTGGCAGAAGGTGCAACCTTGGCCACCTCTGGAACACAGCTACTTTGTGCTCCTAGAAAACACTTCCCAGATGGACTTTGGGAGCCCACCCCACATGGAGGGATGCACACTGAGCTGGACATAGGGGCATGGGCCTGGGCCTGTGCCTGACCTGGGCCCTGTCTGGGAGTATGTGGGAGACTCTGAGGACCACCTACGGAGGGCCTTGCCATCCCTGGGGAGCAGAAAGGGTATGGGATAGGCGAGGTGTTATTTGAGGCCCAGAGGAGGAGTGGAGGTAGAGGGACCTGGAAATGACATGTGGAATAATCTTTCTAATTAAAATAAAAAATTTAAAAAGAGAAAACACTTCCCAGAAGATTTCACCTCAGTGATGCAGTTCCCTTCTTATCACTGCTAATGTCTTAGCTCCAGCTGACAGGCATCAATTATCCAAGCAACATTAGGTTCACTGCTGTAGTTCTGTTATCTTGTTAATCATGGCTGATTCCTCAGCCAAGACTAAGCAGAACCACAAATTACTTTAATAGATATGGTATTTTGCTAACCACAGCTGATTATTCAGACCCATCTAACCACAACCACAGGATCTTAATTCAAAAACAAATAATGTCCACAATAAAGTCTTTAAATTTTCCTCTGAAACTTTACAAGCCAGACTTCTATCTTCTGCAATTCTCTAAAAATGCCTTGTGTATAATTGTTTTTATTTATAAAATGTATTTTATTTTACATACAAACTGCATAAATTGAGGAAAAGACAAACCAAAACATTAGAAGAAATCAATAAATAACTTGAAGAAGGTCAAGTCGAAAGCAAAAAAATTACTTGAAGGAAAAGTTCCAGACTTAAAAATTGAAACAGAAGCAATAAAGAAAACACAAACCAAAGATAGTCAGAAAATCAAGAATCTGAGTAAGCAAACAGGAACTATAGATAAAAAAAATCATCAACGGAGTAAAAGAGATGGGAGTGAGGATCTCAGGTGTTGAAGAAATGATAGAGGAAATGGATTCACCAAATAAAGAAAATGTTTAATAGAAAAGATTCATAACACAAGACATCCAGGAAATCTAGGACACCATGAGAAGACCTAAGCCTCAGAGTAACAGGGAAACAAGAGGGAGAATTCCAACTCAAAGGTGCAGAAAACATATTCAACAAAGTCATAGAAGAAAACATATCCAACCTAAAGAAGGGCATGCCTATGAAGCTACAAGAAGCTTACAGAACACTAAATAGACTGGAAAAAAGAAGTCCACTCAAACTTATATGGAAAAACAACAACAACAA